GCTTGTTTATTTGCCATAGTGCACAAAGCTGTTCTATTTCTATCTGCTTTGAAGCCAACTATAAATTCTTGTTCTCCCTTATGAGTCATGTATGACTAGTGAATGCTTTCCAAGGCGTGCCTGCAGTGCTTTTTAGCTGGATTACAGGACACAGCATCCGTTTTGTGTTGCCAAAATTTAAGATAACCGAATCATTCACGTGAAGTCATTGTGCAGTTTCTAATGCAGTTATGTACATATTCCTTTTTTTTTTTTGTACATAAACCTTTTTAGGAGATTCATACTACTTGTAAGCCAAAGCTCCGTATGATTTGCCAAGCCTGCTGTATATTTAGGCTGAAATATAGTGCTTTTTTTGGAGTTCGTAGGTTGGTTATTGTCTCTCTCTTGTGTAGAGCAGGAATAGGAAGACTTTGTTTCTTATCAGACACTGTGAAATAGAATCTTTCTTCAGAGATCAGGTAAGATACACAGTAATTGTTCAATGGTGTGACCTCTCTCCTCCATTGTGTGTCTCTGCTGATAAAGGAATATCCCACGAGCACAGGGGGAAAACACTGATGAAACAGTTACTTTGAGTAAGCATTGGACCAACAAAAAGCACCCAGCTAAAAGGGGTTTTCTACTTTATCACTTGTCATTAATGTGCTTGAGACGCCTCTTGCAGCCCACAGGTTTTTCCATGCCACAATCTCAGATTTCACCTGCAGTGGCTGACCCCAGATTTATGGTGGGCAGCAAAACAACAGTGGAAAGGGAGTGTGGAAAGGGAGACCCTCCCTCTTACTATGAAGGTTCTAAACTGGTAAATTAGTAACATTTTAAAGTGGCATGAATGATGGCATATTAGGGCTGAATTACCAGGTTATGTACCTCTTGCAGCCTCTAATATGGAGTCAGATGCCATGTCTTCACTATATGGAGAAAGAAAATACGGGATGTGCAGATGCCAAGCTGGAAAAACCAATCTATATTCTATGATAAAACATTTCTGGTAAAATCAGTCTTCTGCCGCATTTTTATTTTATATTCTTTAAAACAATGCTTTGGTGACACTGCAGTTATTTTCTGGCTGCTTTAGTTGGGTATTTGATTTTAAAATTGTATAGACAAATGGCAAAAAAATGCATGCATTGCTTCTACCGTATGCAGTCCTCTGAAGGTTTCCAGGGTAGCAGTCGCTTGTCATGTAATGTACATAATGTTATTATTGTTTCTTACCACCTGTGCTTTTACCATGAGCAAACACACTTGGAAGTCTCACTCAGGCAGGTTAGACATCTGCCTGTCCTTGAATACATCTCCATGCTGCTGTCCTCCTGATTATTCAGCTTGGCCCGAGGATGTTGGTGGTGCAAAGGTAACGGTTTGATGACAGTTTTTCCATAAAGAAGTTTGATCAGCACTTCTGCTACACTTTTTCTTTTTTGGTTGCAGGTAAATAATAGATGCAAGCAGCAAACAATCAGGAGTATTGCTGTGTGGACGGTGGGATGTGTTTAGAGGACAAGAAAAGCACTTCCACTGAGTTAATGACTGTAAAAAAAAAGTCTAGCTACATTTAAACATTTTGTTCAATTAAAAAAAAAAAAAACCCCATTCAGTAAAAGAACATTTAGAAACATACATCCTTCTCGGGAAGCTCTGCTATGTGAAGAGTGCTTGTGACCTTAGGCTTGTTATTTGTTGAGTCCTGCTGAGGAGGTGACCACCATTGTTCAGTTTCATGAATGTTTAGGTGTCTATTACCAAAAAGTTATTCCAGAAAACACCTTTTATCTTTGATTCGGACCTGAGATTCTGGTGTATTGCAGGAAGCAGTTTGCCACTCTGTAAGCATCTTAATGTATTGGGTGCCTAATATCAGGAGCATCACAAACTTGCGTGCATCTTCCCTGCTCTGACACATGGTTGTGGCTTCCTGTACTCGAGATTGCGGTTGCAGACAGGGCTGTGGACACTTACTGTGAAGCTTTTTTTGTGTGCTTTGTAGCACAGT